TGATAATTGAATCTATTCATTTCGCCAACCGCAAACAATACATGCAGGGTAACAACCAACAGAACTAGCCCACTCGTAAATGGTACATCGTTTCTCTGACCATCCAAAAGCCCCCAATCTCTCTAAATGTGAGGAGGGCCGCGTTTTTATCACAGGGTGGGATTACTCAAGTAAGATGGCAAAAAGCCGATACCCGTGAGTTTAGTAGGCTTGATGAGCTACATTCAACCAACCCATCTGACGAAGCGGAAAAGCCTGATTCCGAACCGCCACGGATTTTGGACGTCTTTGTTGTCTAATTTGGTCACCCGGTGTATTGAGTACGTGTGAATCATGCTCAAAGGGGTTTATGACCTATTCTCGAGGAATTGTGGTTTTGACACAAAGTCCAACTGCTTTGCGGGTCGGGTTTTGGTTAGCTGAAGGCTCCGATTGTGAATCACGAGAGCATCGTCTGATTTGGCCCGAGCAACCTGGTGTTGTTTCCATGAGTCAATCATGAATTAATTTGTTTGTTGAAAAGATTGCTGTACCGTGATTCGCTTGGTATACTGTGTGAACGAGGACAAGTGTGAGGAGTGATACAATGTATGCAATTTATCTGTTTTATTCATTTGTGAAGTCCAATGGATTACAATACAACCAATACTATCCCAAGCAAGATATTTGCAGATATAAGTAGTTTAAACTAAACACGCGCTACTTCTTACTTGTCTGCCCCCGAGTCGGAACAGAGGACTCGTCCCCAGTACCACCAGTCCCGGTTGAGTCCGAATTGGCGGTATGCGCTGCAGCAATCGCATCCCAACCGCTGGTTACGCCTGCCACTCCTCTGACAGGTAGCTGAGCTTGAGCGGACGGCGGAGCAGTCGTTGAGTTTGGGCCGGATGTCGTTCCACCGAGAGATGTGCTGCTTACCAGGGATTTGCCCGCCCCGGTCCAACCTCGAGCGGCACGGCTGATGGTGTTTCGACGAAGTAAACGTTGTGCGGCTGCCAGATCGTAATCCACATTACACATACGACAAATAGCACGAATCTATAATTCATGATGGGAGGGGGGGTAGAACATTTGGTTCATATAACAGAATATGTATGAAGGAGAAAAAGGAATAGATGGTTACTGTTAGGGTAGAGCCTAAGAGAAACACTTCAGTGCGACCGATCAGCAGGTTGACCTAACCTGATGATTCAAAGTCATACCATTGGATCACAATCTGAGATTACTGATATAAGGCGAGTCAATGCTAATCGCAAATGAAAAATCACCAATCCTTGTTTGAACAAAACTAACTCAGTGTTGCCTAGCACTAATTGTAGTTGAATGTTATCCCCACCAGTACACCGCTTGTAATCACGTAATCTTGTAAGTAAATTTGCCTCTATCTTAGATGATGTATTACGTAAGCAATCGAGAGAAGTGAACAAAATACTCGTGTATCAAAGCATCCGTTTTCTTCCAGTGATAAGCCTTTGTCCGCGCCAGGAATAGACTTAGCAACACGTTGATGCGCAGTATTGTGATTTTGGATTCAAAGACATAAAAGATTCCAGATTTAAACTCGTGACTGGTTACTTCCATTCTATCTTCAATTGTCTTCAATCGTCTAGTGATATTAGACACATCTTTACTCCTTTTTTTACCGTTTGTACGACCGTTGTTCCGCACTTTTCTTCTCAGTCAACATTTTGTCAATTTTACCTAACTCCATTGTGTTACTTACTACCCATAACACTTCTTACACATTTTAAATGTAACACAACTCGCCATTGATTGGATGAGTGCGCTTCGCTCGTTTCACACCTGATGGCCATCAGTAGTTGAGACAAGTAACAATAACCGGGTTGGACTCGGAGAAGCGAAAGCCTATTGCACATACGTGTTCCACCTGCGGTACCCAGCCGCTCCTAATTTGTAGTTCGAACGTGATTCGTTGGTCTTGGGGTTGCCGAAACTCCTGGGCTCAGTGTGTAATTGGGAATAAAATCCGACTGAATGGATTGAATCGGTCGTGTTACCGATCTACAACAAAGGTGATAGGTCTTTTGGTGAAAACCACAGAGGAATTAGTTTGATTGAAATTGTCCGAAATTCTCGCCGGTATTATACTCCGTCGATTGTTTATTGCACGTGAAGTGTTCACGCGTCAGAATCAGGCTGATTTTAGATCTGATTGGAGTCTAACGATCACATTTTCACCGGTCATCAAATTCTAGAACACTGACATTTTTTTAGTACACCCCCACCTTCCATCCTCCTCGACTGGAAACTGTGCCCGAGGTGTATTCCAATATTTTACGGCACTTTCCCGCCTGAGTTCACACGGAAAGTGGTGTTCGCCAGAACTGCCCCCCCCTCTCTCTCTGTTTCCATTCAATTTCGTCATAGATTTAATTCTTGAAACAGCCTTATCCTCGTACAAGGATGGTGGCATCGAGTTGTTGCCAGGTGCAGACGACACTGTGTGACCAGGTGAAGATCCAAGTCAATTACAAGCTATTTTGGATAATCTGAGTGCTAGTGTAGCCCTGTTCGGTATGCGTTTTGCACCTTTAAAGTGCAAGATATTTCTACAGGGTTAGGTTGGTCCAGCTCCCAGCCTCACATTAAATGGAGAATTAATAGGGAAAGTGGACAAGTTTTGTTAGTTGGACAGCTATATCTCACCGTATGGAAGTATCGCACGTGAAGTGTCGGCACGAATACAGATGATTCGATTGGCATTTGCCAACTTGATACATCTGTGGTGACGACTTGATATCCAGTTGTCTGTGAAGAGCCGAGTATATGCCCTGGCATTTCGACCACGATAGATGGTCGCACAAACTGAACTGAGCTGAACTTTCTATATATTCCACAGTTTTAGTCAATCGCCGGTTTTTCTCTTCCTCTCTCTCTCTCTCACTATTTCCTTATATGCTTGAACTTGCTTTGCATGAGTCCAGCTAGACCCCTTATAGGTTCCGCGTAAAGCGCTTTCTCATTTCTGGTAAGCTGTTCACACTTTTCACGACCCAAACACGTCTCACTCCGGACCACTGGTATAAAGGCTTTGAGCGAGGCACCCTTGTCTGCTTCGGCACTTTTGGATCGTGTTCAGCGTTCAATCGCTTATCCGTCCTGACAACTGAGATCATCCCCCGCTCTGGTCGTTTGCCATTTTGACTACTATCAAGGATCCGGAGCACATACTCGGAGTAAACCCGTTTGCTCTATCTTCCACGTTTATTTGCAGGCGAGTTACAGTCTGATTGTGAAACGCCGATCAGTACTCTGTCCAGTCCACCT